TTCTTTTTTTTTTTTTAATTTAGGTTTGTTTATTTTATTAATTATTATTATTAGGAAGGCAAACTTCTAAAATGTGAAGGGCGTTGGGTTTTTTCCTTATCTGGTAGATGAGGGCAAGCATTTTGCACTAATGTTTCCTGTGTGTGGAGGATTAATGATATGTTTGAAAATGTTATATGGTAATGATTGTATTCTTCCGAGAAAAAAAAACAAAAAAAAAATAACCCCTTTAAAATACTGAATGTAAGGTGAGAACAGAGCAGTCCATCGATTGTATGCGGCTTTCCTGAGTGCCTTAGAATTTTTTGATCATTTTTTCCAAGGAAAACAGATTAAGAAGATCAGATCATAACCGACTCCTTCCTCCTCTTTGTTTACGACACTATTTTAAATTATAGAATTTGGGGCTGCTTTATAATGTGAATAGGAAACTGCATTCATCTAGGTCTGATAGTGTAAAATCAAAGCATCAGTATTTATGGTATGTCTGCACCTTTATTCTTATGCTTGACTATTAGCAATATTACATGTATATTATATATCTAAAGTTATACCAAGCACCTTTAAAGAAAACGGAGTGTAAGCATACAAGTTACCTGCAGCTGCCATATAGAGTAGAAGCCAGCCCCTCTCCTCGTTAGCGCCAATTAACACCACCATCCCGAGGGCTGCTGCTTTGCGGAAGGGCTGCGTGACCTTCTGCCGCGCCGCCGTCCCGCGGCTCGCCGTCCCGCGGCTCCAGCTTTGGCCAGGGTTCGCGGCGAGCCCCCCCGGTGTCCCGTGGGCTGGGGACGTTCCCGCGCCGGTTTGGTCGCGGTGATGCCGGTGCAGGCAGGAGCTGCCCGCGGAGGGGGCTCGGGAGGAGGGATGGTGCTGGCGTTGCCGGCAGAAGGTGGGGATCGGGTCCTTTTTGCCACCTTGATGGTTTAATTCTTCTAACTGTGGTTTCACCCTAGAAATTCCCCCAGGAGGACTGGGGGGTTGCGGGGCTGGTGGTGGGGAGCCCAGCCATGGGTGGCACGCACCGGGGCTCCCCTCCGCCAGCCGGGCGAGGGGTTCAACGCAACCGGCCCCCCAAAACTGGAATTGCTCACGGCTTACCCGGCGTTTGAGGGAGCGGAGCATCCTAGCCATGGTGTTACGCAGGGGGCTGCCGCCTCCCCTCAGCCCTTTGCCGCCGGGGTTTTGCTCAGATCGCTTGTTTTTCTGGAAATAGCTCGCTGCGAGTGGAGAAGGGCCAACGGGAAACCGGGACGAGCCCCGGCCGCCTCCGCGGCAGTAAATCCCCACCACCACATTCCCAGTCCGCAGCCATCTTGGGCTTCAACTGCTGTTCAAAGTGTTCCTGCTGTCCGAATCGGTCGTGCCGTCGGCAAGCGAGCCCCGCGCGCGGGGTGGGAGGGAAGGGAGCGGGGAGCTCCCCGGCCCCGCTCGCCGGGGGCTGACGTCTAACGCACTCACATTGGAAACCCCTCAACTCCTCCAATGAGTTTCTTCCACTGTTAAGCGTTTTGCACACAAAATCGTGATTTTTATGTCAAGGTAAAAGCCAAAACTTGCAATACTATTTTTAGCAGACAAAAAAAAAAAAAAAAGATAATAAATAAATAAAAAACAACTGAGTATAAATGTATAAATATTTTTGACTTGAACATTTGGATGGCACTTGATTCAAATAGAACATTAATCCTTTGGACAGGATGTTTGGGAAAAAAAGGACTTAAAGTACAAGGTTGTTTTTAAAGCGTCTTCATAGGGTATTAAGTAGTACTGTAATTCATGACTGTTAAAAATACTTTCTGTGCTGTAAGGAAATCTCACAGTACCACTGAATTATGTTCCTCAACTGTCTCAGCCACGAACGATGCTAGCTTCTTTTTTTTTTTTTTTATCGTGCATTATTCACTAGTATTTATGTGCTCTTACTCTGTATAGTTAAGACTGTTATTTTGTAGCCATGGCTGACACGATATATCAGTAACTAAAAAAGAAGAGAAAAGATTAAGACCCCCGAGTTGGAACTGTGCTCATAGCTGTTTTCATACAATGAAAAATCCATTTAAAAAAAAAAAAAAAAACCCAATGTGATCATTAATTGTAAAACGCTTTGTAAAATTCACATTTACAAAATAATAAAGTAAATGACAATTAAAAGCTTTTCTTTGCTCTGTTTTCTTTCTTTCTAGGTTGTG